AGAAGAAAGAAGAAGAAGAAGATATACTTTATTGATCCCCTAGGGGGAAATTGTTTTTTTCACTCTTTTTTTTATACACACACACACACACACAATATAAGTTTCCTCTGGAGAACCTTTCACACTTTCTTTCTGTAATCTGTTAATGAATTAACGGGTCAATTTCTGAGATATTTTATTCGTTAATTTACCACTTTAATCTGTAAGAGAACAACAGAGACGCTCCGACATGAACTCTGTCACGTAACTGATGAATGTACTAAGAGGACAATGAGCTGCCAACAAGTCTGTGAGGGGTGCTATACCTGTACAGGTGGATGTTACCTGTGGTTGGCAGGTCTGATGTTGCGGTCTGAGCGGAGGGCCTGGTCAGCGTACAGCTGCAGGCTGCAGGGGAACGGCAGCTCAGAGTCCAGATCATAGACCAGAGAGTCCGACTGCAGGCCGACCTGCAGCAGAACCACGTGGTAGTCCTGAAACAAATGATGACATCATTAATTACATCATTATTGTAGGATTGTCATTGCCAGATGGTCAAGTAGGAGGTGGTCTCAAGAGTCTTTGTTGGCGGTCCCATTAATGGACATTTAATTACAGGTGCTTCCAGGAAAAGTGCAAAACAAGAGAACTAGAAAATTATATTTGTATAAGAAACTGAGACTAAATCAACAAAAGAAAAACATTTTATAGTACAAGCCCTGGTGTCTGCTGAATATATCCCCACATACCTGCCTGTATGCTGTACTACGGCTTCACCATCCTTACTACCAGGCTGGGCACCATGTCTCAAACATATACAAACATGTCTTAAAGGAACACAAATATCCCACTGTACTATAATGTACACATCTCCGAAATGCACTATTCTCAGCCATTCAGAAACAAAAATAAAAGAATTAATTAAAGCTGCAAGCAGCATTGGGCGGGACCTCGCCATCGACCCATGTTGGGGCCTGCACGGCTGTAGCCCGCCGCAGCCGCGCATCACCACATCGCCCTACGCCCAAGCCCTCATCGCCGGAAGCCGAGGGAGACCGCTCTACATTGTCACGTGTTTCAGACACTGTGCTAAAGACTTCTGCGTTCATAGCGAGACTCTTCCCTGCGAAACGTGGAAATTCAGCGCCACACTCCGTTTGACGCACAGTAAATATTTGATTAACAATTTGAAGTCAATCTGATAAAATCTGTAGGAGTAGTTAGTTAAAATAGAAGCCGGAATGCTGGAAATGGCCGCTTACTTCCTGTTGCCAGTAGGTGGCGCTATCACTATATGTGAATATTGTAATGTAAACTTGTTAGTGGAGATTGGTCATTGTACACTAAAGTTATGAGTACTATCTGTTTTATGGCGAATCGGCAGAATTCGACACGTCGTCACAGGCACGCGGTTCGACGTACAGTCACAAATAGCACAACTTTTCATCTGCAGTGGCTAAGCCATTATGCGACGCCCATCTGCGGGACCAAGACAATACCTTAGCCTTCGCCACGACTGAATTTCATGAGTTTTCAGGCATGTTTAGCCCACCAAAATTTATCAAATGTTAAAATAACAATGTGGCGCTCACTGCGTCGCTACGGCAACACGGTTCAATCAAAATTCATAAGATTGATTAGATGTCATTGTCAACAGTCTAAGGGTCTTCTGACCAAAAATCAGCTGGATGTGGTCAACTTGCTGGGAGAAATACATAAAAGTGTAATTTCCGGTTACCACCAGGTGGCGCTACCACTTTTACTGAATATTATCACATAGACGTGATTTCATACTCATAACCCTTCGCACGATTTGTGCTCGGGCCCTAATAAAATGAAAAATAAATGATATAAGCAGCTTCCCCCTCTAACATGGTAGCACCCATGACGTCATTGACAAGGCGCCCCCTTCCACACGATGACTGCGACAGGTAAGACACTTAAAACTTAATAAAGCTGTGTAAGAAAAGTACCAATAAAGTAACTAAAATGTTTCTCTGTCATTACTGTGTTAAATTTAAGGATGATGGATCAACCAGATATAAACCCCTAAACACAAACAGACCCAGGATAGTAATGTTTATTGGCGCTATCAGGTGGAACAGTTAACAAAACATATTATATAACAAGACAAACAAAGTTGTGATAATGAAATGGCTAGAAATGAACACAAGGATTAATTCACAGTGACATCACAGACCCAAATTACTGGCTGGTCTCCACGTCCAGACTTCTGCTTCCACAGAGGAACCTGACGGAGATCAGAGAACATCTAAAAGTCAGCTGAAGAACAAAACAAGTCTTCCGTAGGAACAGATGTTTTATAGGACCTGACAAGACGTTATAGAACCTGAAAGATGTTTCATAGAACCTGACAGACCTTATAGAACCTGACAGACGTTATATAGAACCTGACAGATGTTATAGAACCTGACAGACGTTATATAGAACCTGACAGATGTTATAGAACCTGAGACGTTTTTTAGACCCTGACAGACGTTATATAGAACCTGACAGATATTATATAGAATCTGACAATGTAATAGAACCTGACAGATGTTATATAGAACCTGACAGATGTTTAATAGAACCTGACAGACGTTATATAGAACCTGACACCAGATGTACATAGAAGCCTGGCAGACAGTATTATACCAAACCGGCTGACAGGAGTATATAGAAACTGCTGACCAGAATGTTTATAGGAACCTGACAGACGTATTATAGAAACCTGAACAGATGTTACATAGAAACTGGCACGACCAGTATTATAAAAACCTGAAGACGTTATATCGAGACCTGACACAGATGTATTAATAAGAACCTGACAGACCGTCTATATACGAACTCTGACAATGTTTATGAAACCGACAGAGTTTATAGAATGGATTTTATAGAGAAGTCTGGAAAATGTTTTTCAGCCAACTTGCAGAGATTCTACCGCTTCATGTTCTCCTGTGTGTTATCACCCCACATTCTGTTCTCATTAAGATGAAAACTACAAAAGTCGTCCAGCAATGCAGTTCGCTCCGTTCTGACAAATCACAGAGTTTCCAACAAATTTTCTTCCCATGGCAGATAAGAACAGAACAGAACCAGTAGGACACCAGTAGAACGCAGTTAGTAGAGAGCTGCTTAACTGGTACAATTGTGCGGTTCTACGCCGGATAGAAACGCGGGATGTGTTTACCTTATTGACTAATATCGCTCGCAGCCAATCAGACATTAAGAGCTCTTTAACCCCGAAGGCGTCTAACTGCCAGCTGCTTGTTACAACTCAATACCTTTAACTGCCTGTACAATACAACCAGTTTGGCTTTCTCATGGTTTCCTCTGGTTTCCTCCACCAATTAATAACTTCAGGCCAGGCCATTTAAGCAAGGCACTGCTCAGGTTCTGGAGTTACGTCACTGCTCTATTTCCTTACTCTGAGTTATAACACTGACCATCTTTACATTGATATATGCAGTAACAGTTTCATATTGTAGAAGCAGTAGTAATATTGGCAGTACAGTATATGTTGGATATATTTTTGGCAGTTTACCAAGTAACAGATATGCTTGCAGTAGCAGATATATGTTGCAGTAGCAGTATTGTTGGGCAGTTAGCAGTATATGATTCCAGTAGGCAGTATTATGTTGGCAGTAGTGAATGTATGCTTGCAGTAAACAGTGTAGTTGCAGTAGGCAGTATATATGCTTGCCAGTAGCAGTATATGTTGCAGGTAGCAGTATATGTACAGTAAGCAGTATACGTGTTGCCAGTATCAGTATATGTTGCAGTAGCCAGTTAGGTTGCCAGTAGCAGTATATGTTGCAGTAGCAGAAATATACAGTCAGCCAGTATATTTACAGTAGCAGTATATGTACAGTACAGTGCTATGTTGCAGTCAGCAGTGTATGTGGGAGTAAAAGTATATGTTGCAGTGAGGCAGATGATTTGCAGTAGCATAATGTGCAGTAGCAGTATATGATTGCGTAGCAGCTGATGTTGCAGTAACAGGTGTATTGTTGCAGTAGCTATAATGTTTGCAGTAAAGTATATGTTTCAGTAGCAGTATATGTTGCAGTAGCAGTTATATGTCACGTAGCAGTATATGTTAGCAGTAACAAGTGTATGTTGCAGTAGGCAGTATATGTTGCAAGTAACAGTAAGTTTGGCAGTAGCAGCCTATATGTGCAGTAGCAGTATATGTTGCAGTATATTTATGCAAGTATTTACCAGTAACAGCTGGTAAATCACAATCCAGTTTTCGCCGGCTCTGTGTGATTCTGTCCTCCAACGCTCACTTTCGGTGTCAGCGCTGAAGACCGCTCCGCCGGACAGATATATTGAACGTCCAATCGGTAGAGTACTCGACTATATTATAAACAGTCAGTGATTTATAAGGAAGGACAGTGTTTAAAGCCGACATGTTCCCGCCCTTCCAAATGTTATATTATATCCGTTATATATTCTGTTGATATCGCGCTAAAGCTGACCAAACCCACTGCAGCTACGGACTGTGTGCGCCTGCGCACTATGGCTGGCGGACCTGAAGTAAACGTTCCTAGACTGACCCACAAATATCAAATAGTCAAGTCATAAATTCTGTATTCATCAAATACTAAGTATTCATTAATAATTACTTATAATGTAGTTCCCTTACTGCCCTGTACTCCCCCTTAGCCACACATTAATCACGGGATCAATCCTCTGCATTAGTTACATTACTGCTGTTACTGTAGCATAATGCAATCTTTTAACCATCCTTGATTATGCTTTGTTTAGCAACGTAACAATAAGTGTTTCTTGATATGATCTCCCCTTCCTGCCAGCAAACCTTCCAAACTAAAACCCTCATTGGCTTGCCAGGAGCACCTCAGGATACTGAAGGAGTACACAGGAGCACTCAAGGACGTACGGAAGAGCACTCCAAGGACCACTCAGGAGTATGAAGAGCAACTCAGCGAGCACTCCAGGAGTACCCTGAAGAGCACCCAGATAGCAGCTCCAGGAGTACTGGAAGCACTCAGGAGCACTCAGGAAGTACTGAAGAGTACACAGGAGCACACAGGAGTACTGAAGATAACACAGCGAGGCACACAGAGTACTGGAAGATACGAAGGAAGTACTGGAAGAGTACATCAGACACTCCAGGAGATACTGAAGAGCAACTCGGAGCACTCAGGAGTACTGAAGAGTACGACCAGGAGGCACTCCCAGGAGTCACTGAAGAGAACTCCCCCCAGGGAGTACTGATAGAGTTACACAGGAGCACACCAGGAGTAAAGGAGCTACCTGAAGAGTACACGAGTACCAACAGGAGTACCCACAGAAGTACACCAGGATACACAGGAGTACTGAAGAGATAACAACCGGAGCACCTCAGGAGCACTCAGGACACCCAGGAGTACTGAAGAGAACAGGACGCACCTCCCCCAGGAGTAACTGAGAAGAGTACACAGTAGGCACAGGGAGCTATGAAGGGGTACACCAGGAGCACCAGGAGTAATGAAGAGTACACAGGAGGCACTCAGGAGTAAACTGAAGAGTACACCAGGAGCACTCCAAGGAGCACACCCAGGAGTACTGAAGAGTAACAGGACAGCACAGGAGTACTGAAGAGTACACAGAGCAACAACAGGAGTACTGAAGAGTACACAGGGCGACACAGGAGCACACAGGAGTACTGGAAGAGTACACAGGAGCACACAGGAGCACTGAAGAGTAAAGAGTAATGCGAACGCAGTACACCCAGGAGTACTGAAGAGTACACAGGAGCACACAGGAGTACTGAAGAGTACACCAGGAGCACACAGGAGTCAGCTCGGAAGAGTACAACAGGAGTTACTGAAAGAGTAGCACAGTGAGTACTGAAGAGTAACCAGGACGGCACCACCAGGACGTAACTCGAAGAGTACCACAGGAGCACACAGGAGCCACTGAAAGTACACAGGAGTACCTGAACGAGTACACAGGAGTACTGAAAGAGCTACACAGGACCACACAGATACTGAAGAGTACACCAGGAGCACACAGGAGTATGAAGAGACACAGGAGTGACTGAAGAGTAACACAGGAGCACAACAGAGTCACTGAAGAGTCACAGGAGTGAAATACCTCTGCTCAGCTGATTGATTGACATATTGACAAATTGACATATTTGATCTGCAAACACTGACAGGCAGGGGGGACGCCTGTGTTGTTCCACACTCCACAAATCACGAAACCCGGAAACAACAAGACAGACTTGAACGTTTCACTTAATCTCAACAACAAACACAAAGCAAAAGTGGGGTTACAAGGTCAAAGGCTCCAACATGACAATGCAGAGTACCCAGAGGTCATGGTTCTGGGTCAGCCGGTGGTATCCAAGCAGCCAGGTTGTTTGCTAGGATACGCAAAACAGGTATGCTGACATGACCACCCATTCACCCATGTACACGAGGCGTTTGAGCTGGTGGCGGGGCCAGGGTTGTTAGGTGAAGAGGCGGATGGTGGCGTCCGGAAGTCCAGAGGAAACAGATGCCACGCGGGGCTGCGTGGGGTGAAAGGTCACATCTCAACACCAGGTCCATGAGTGTCCACATGGACCTCTGCCAACTCTTTTAGCTGGAACACATCAACGGTTCCTGCAGCAGGTCGCTGTGGGGGGGGGGGAACAGGAAGTCAGGCCATCACTGTCAGTACCACGTGGTGTATATAGTCACAGCGTGTAGTACAGTGTGAGTATATTGGTATATTACCCTTTACAGTCGCCGCCTGACAGACGACGATGACCGATCCGTCATCAGACGCAGCGAGGCGAACCACGCGGGTACAGTCTGTGATAGGCCACGCCCCTCCACTGCCTTCTTATGGGTCTGCAGAAAGTGATCACACCATCAATATGATCATCCTCCACACATGACAATACACGCATTCAATATGATCAATAATATGGATACAACACACCCATCAACTATGATGCAAAACATCAATAGATCAAATGACAATGATGATATGAAGGGTGTGTGTGTTTGATTGACAGGTACAGTACTCAGTAACATCTATAAGGTTAGGTTGAGAGGTCGGAGGTCGTAACCAAGCTCCAAGCCTGCAGTCCAGTAAACTCCAGCAGCACCAAACTGATCACACTGTAAAGGATCAGGTGTTAAGTATGATCAGTCGTGTTAATATGGATCAGGTGTTAATATGGATCAGGTGTTATATGATCGTGGTGGACTGGTACCTCCAGGGGGTGACAGCCATGCTGGAGATCCC